GGCATTGATAGGGCTGTAACACTGACAGCTTGCTGCAGCTACTGCATTTACAATCTCTAATGAATGTTTTCAGTGAGTGAAGAAACTACTGCTGACATACAAGTGGCTACACAAAGTTTAGGGATAACTTAGCTGCAGGCAGACCTGAACTATCCGAGCAAGGCTCACAACTATAGAGGATAAAACAAGTACCTGAAGCACATCTGCATTCTTCATTTTATAGTTTTTGAACCGTGAAGATGAGACTAAATTTGTCTTCTCGCATGTATAAAGGAATAATCAGTTTTAACTGACTGCTAATCAGGCATAGCCTCTAACCCTGATGTTCAATGTAGTGTGCTATACCTGTTAGAAAGTTGTCACACTCCAAATAATCTCCCTGCATGAATTATAAATTACATATGATGTATAAAATATACGTGCTGGTAAGTACTGTATGTTGAGATAGATGCCTGAAGTCAGGACTTCCACAGTATGCTTGAAGAATATAGAAAACTTCCTGGAATTTCTGGAACCCCCTAGTCACGGCAGCAGTTGCACACTGTGAACCATAGCTAGGGGTTTGATGATGAGATAAACATGAGGTAATGAATATTGACTTCCATACTGTCCTGGTTTCGGCTGGAATGGAGTTAATCTTCCTAGTAGCCACCTTTGCAGAGGAGAATACCGTGCATGTAGCTGCAGGTTTTTCGTAGAAAATAACTGTTTCTCAGCAAAATGTTCCAGTGGGTCTTAATTTTCCTTCAGGGCACTCTGACTAATGCTCAGATTCGTGCAGTATGGTGTTGCTCAGAAGGAGTTGTCAGAAGGAAACGTGCTTAAAAACCTCCTCTGGCACTAATGGCAATAAACAGAAGAACAAACTGGCAGTGCTGTTATTGTATAATAGTGTCTTGGCCACACTAGCCCCAGAGTCTGCTCTTTCTGGACCATGGACTTTTTGGGGTGGATGATTTTTCTAGCTGAAGCACAGCACCCAAGCAAGCAACTGCACGGCCTTCACGGCAAAGTATTATTTTGATATATGAAATGCAGTCTCAAAGTTCTCCTCTTTCCTTCCACAGGACAAACAGGAGGACTTTAAGACGGTGGTTTTGGAGGGAATGGAGATGGCCAAGCATCAGGTGAGGGTGGCCTTTGATGCTTGAGTTGTGAAACAAGCTCGCCATAACAATACTATCACCTCAAGGCCCTGGGCAGTATTTAGCTTTCAGTAAGAACTGAGAGAGATCAGTCTTGTTAGAGGACAAAGTTGAGAGATTTTTGAAGTGGAAGAATCATGAGGGCTCTTATTTTTATAATAAGGGGTTTTTTTTGTAATGGTTTCCTACATGAAATAGATTACAAAAAGTTAATGTTAGTTCTAAGAAGAATTATGATCACAAATAATTATAAAATTAAATAATAAAATAATCTTTGCCAAACAGCAGGTGTGAAACACACAATCCCTAATCGGTCTCTGTCCAATTAACTGTTGTTTTAAGTATCTGAGGAATTAGTGGTGTTTGCTTAGCGGATACTGCCGTGAGGAAATGGCTTGGACGGGTTGTATTTCGTTGCTTAGAGGGAGAGTTAGTATTTGCACGTGCACCCGTTTGGTTGGCTGCTGTGTGACACTGACACTGGCTGTGTGCTGGAGGCAGTCTGTGCTCACCACTGGGTGATACCAAGCACGGTAGAGAACCAGTACTGAAAAGCCTCTCTTCTGTGAATCCAATGTGAAGTTTTTAAAGGAGAAACTTTAAAAACTCGTAGCTTCATTAAAAGTAGGAGGCATCAACAACTCTTTCTGTGTTGGAATTCCTTTGTTCTAGTTCATTACAAGCCTTTCTTTTCTTGAGTCTTGTAGAGCTAGAATAGTAATCCCCTGTGACAGGGGAGCCAAACCACCAGATTAAAATACTAAATATGTTCATATTTAATTTTAACTTAAGTGCTTTTGTGAAACGGATGAAATTGCAAGACAATTGCTTCACTGAAAGGGCAAAAACTGTATTTGCTGAAGTATCATCTCTTGAAGAAAATCTGTTTGCTCAAAGGCGGTGCAATCAGTAATCCTTACCTTACGCTCTGCTCCCACTGCTGTTCTTTCCCCTTCATTCTCCTTTCCTTACAAAGCCTGCTCTTCAGGAGCTGTGCAGCCTGCAGGGGGTCTCGGACCCCCCCCTGGGCAGACTGAAAGGGCAAAAACTGTATTTGCTGAAGTATCATCTCTTGAAGAAAATCTGTTTGCTCAAAGGCGGTGCAATCAGTAATCCTTACCTTACGCTCTGCTCCCACTGCTGTTCTTTCCCCTTCATTCTCCTTTCCTTACAAAGCCTGCTCTTCAGGAGCTGTGCAGCCTGCAGGGGGTCTCGGACCCCCCCCTGGGCAGAGGCATTGCCAGGGAGGCGCTGGTCAGAGGCGGATCAGGAGGTGGCTCTCCTTGATGTGGCCTTTGTGCTTCTTTCCTCCTTCCTCACAGAATAAAAACCAGTATTGCTGGAACTCTACTTCACGGTAGAAGCTCTTCCATACTGGTTTGTCAGCAACAGTCCAAACAAGGTGTGTCTAGTGGTGATAGTACCTTACTGTCTAGATTTGAATATGGTTTTTGACTCAAAGGAAAAAAAGGAAATGAGTGAAGAGTACCATATAAGCAGCTGGATGTCGGTGCTCAGGTATTTAAGTATGCGGATATTTAAGGCAACCCTAAACAGGGTTACAGCGGTGTACTGACACTGCCTGTGAGCATCTGGTGTATGACTGCTGCGTTCGCTGGTGGGGTTCCTGAAATTCTCCCCCTTGAAAGTCCCCCCATGAAATGGAAGGTGCATAACTCAGGTCTTCTGAGAACACGCAATGAGTAACTGAACTGTTTTGAGGACAACTTCAAGTGTTTGTCAGAGCCTCCATGTGTCTTATTTCTGATACTAAAACCAGCACTGCTTTTGCTCTTCCTGAAAACTCTAAACTCTAGCTTTAAATTGAAAATGCTTTGTTTCTTTATTAACTTTCTCTGGGGTGTATTGTCATTAATGCTGGCAGTAGGGAGAAGTGTGAGTGTTACCAGAGACCAGCCTGCTTTGGAAAGCCGCTGAAGTAGCACACAGCTTACCCAAGCAGCTGCAATACTGGCTATCGCCAGCTTGGGCTGTTCATGTTAGCCAGCGGGATGCTGCAAGGGAGCAGCTCTGCAGGGCAGTGCGGCGGGGTGGTGGGGCTGCCTCGCTTTGGGGCAGCCCTGGGCCGAGGCGCAGTGGACCCGAACGCCCTCCACAGCTTTCCCGTTAGTGTCAGCCTGTACGCTGCCAGCCTGTACACTGCCAGCCGCTGCTGCTGCAAAGCGTGGCGAGGGGAGGAGCAGGAGGTCTGCTTCGAAAGCTGCACTCCAGCGTATGTGTATTTTGGTGATAGAACAAATACTTTTGGAATATGCAAAAATACTTTATTGGGCATTAGTCTTATTTTCACCTGTGCTTTTTCTGGTTTGTCCTGTATTATCTCCCATTATCTCTATTTACAGAAAAACCCAGAGGAGGACAGCTCAGGGAAAACACTAAGTTGGGAACCAGGTCACTTGCTTTTAACCATCTACACTGTTCGCAGCATTGAGCAGCTTTTGCCTTTCTTCAATGTACTCAGCCAAGTTTTCAACAGCAAAGTCACGAGCAGATGCGTTGGACACTCAGGGAGCCCGGTCCTTTACCCCAACTGTTTTCCAAGTAAGGACATAAAAATGGAGAACCTCAAGACCTTCTCCAGCAAAGCAAGACAGAAGATAGAAGAAATGGTTGAGAAGGATTTTCTTGAAGGCGTCATAAAAACATGAACCAAACTGGTACTACTCAGCTTATATGTAGTGTAACTATTTAAATGAAATACTTATCTTTCCCAGTTGTATAGTATTCTTTTCTTACTTTGTATGTAATGAAATACTTAATGTTGTATTTAAGTTAAATATTTGTAAATAAGAGAAAAGTTCTGGATGTGGCCTGAATCAAGTTTAAATATTGGTGGCTCATATTGATTATGGTGCCTACTATTAACAGTACATGTTTTGTTGTCTTGAGTTCTGTCTTTAAAAAAAAAATCCTAAAAAAATACAAGGTGCACATTTTTTCAATTTGTTTGCAGTTTATTTTTGTCTTTTTTTTTTTTTTTGATCCATTGGAACTTGTGCTTATTTAGCAATCTGGAAAGTGCCATTATGCAGCAGTTAATACAGGACTACAATGAAAAAATACGTGTGTCAGAGGTAGATACCCTGAACTGAAATGTGGGGGTGAGGGTATTTAAAACATTACATCCTGTCGGCCCACCCTTTCACACTGCTGGGGAGTAGCAAGGGCCACAGAAGACAAACTTGTCTCTGTCCCTTCCCTCTTAAAAGTGATTATAAGCACTATTACTGCAAATTGCTTTCTAAGCAACACTTTAATTTCATGAAAGTATCTAATGAAGATATTATTGCAATAATATCTTATTATTTGCAAATGCTCTTTCATTATATTGTTCCTCCCCTCCCCCGAACTGAGGTCAACTGACTCTCAAGACCAGTGACAGCCTCTGTCTTACACTGTTTGCCTGCAGATGATTCAGCTGCTGTGGGAAGGCAGGAGGTGCTGTTTCCGCAGCAGCGTGCCGCACCGCAGCTACTGCGAGCACAGTCACGACAGGGCTCAAGCCAAACGCAGCTACTGCAAGTGCACTGAGGGTGTGGGAGCTGGACTTGAGGCACAATGTGACAATAACCTATGAAATAAGCTGGGTGAGGGCAGAATTCCTTCTGGGCCTGACCAGGCTACTGACTGTCACCAAGTGAGTCACCTCTAAGCCACTTCAGCTTCAGAAGTTAGACAAACTCAGGGGGTGGGGAAAACGTTCAGCAGCAAGAGCGTCTCATTAAGAGGTAAGTTGCTAATAGAGGTAAGAATAAGCGGAATAATATTCCGCTCAGTTTTGGTTAATCCTTGCTACTTTCAGGAAGGGTTGGGTATAGCAACCACTAGCACATGGTAAATAAAGTAATATTAAAAAATAAGTCAAGTTATGAACTTTAACTGTAGTTGTGTCATTTGTTATATAGGCTGGGGTGGTGCTCCCTTTCCACCAGCGAGGTGGTAAACAGCCAGGCTTACTTCATGGGCGAGGGCATCTGCGTTCTCCTGTGGAATGTTTTAAAAGTTAGTTACATTGGTGTCAGCATGAGAAGGTTAGAGCAAAAATGTGATATTAAGGCAAGCATTTTCCTGCAAATGCTGAGGTATCTTCTGCCACTGTGGGCATGCTGGCAGGGAGAACCAGGCAGGAGCATGTGAAGGGAAGAGCAGGTACGCTGCTTTTGCTGTCAACTTTAAGTTCACAGGTGGACTACTTCTTAACAGCAGCAAAGGTTTTTTTTGGTTTGGTTTTTTTTTTTATTTTGCCTCTTACAAAATCATGCAGTTACTGGCTGCTTTGGTAACTTTCTTCTTAACCCTGAGTTCTCAGAAGGCTGATTTTCTTTTCAAAATCATCTAGGGTCAAATCTGCCTTTATAAACATTTAACTTTTACTTTTAAAGATAAATATTGAGAACATTAAACACCACTTTTATAAATAAAAGAAAATCCAAAGAGACTTTTTGTGATCACTAGATTTTTTCCGAATTTAGCACCTGTTAAGTTTGACTAAATGACGAGTATGTAAACATACTTCTTCTATCACCCAATGCTGCTAAGCAGATGTTTAGCATAAAGAAATCCACCTTACATACAAGTTGTTTAAGCTCTGACCTGTGTGTCTGCTTCAGCGTATACTCTAACTACATCTTCTGTTCCTGATGGCCGGACAAACGCTCGTGACAATTTGTACTTCTTTACAAGTGCATCGATTTTCTCTTGTAGTCCCGGAGGTGTAACTGCATGCCTTTCTGCATCCGTTGTGTCAATAACTCGCCTGTCTGCAACCTGCAGCATCAGAAATAGACAATTTATTTGTGTGCTGGAGCTGTATGATGAGAGCAGAATGAAAAGGTCTCGGGTAAGACAGCACTTCAGGTTTTGATGTGTTGTGCTGCCTGAGGAAGAGCTCGATTTGGGAGTTCCCTGCTTAACTCAAACACTTTGGGATCCCTGGGATCCCTGCTTGGCTATGCTCAGCACCTATTAACTAAGTCCTGATAGGACTCAGCTGCTCGGTTTGGAAAAAGGGTCAGTTCTGAACATGCCTCCTTGGTCAGCCTCCGAATGGAAGCTGCAGCTTCCCCCAGTAGGTCAGAAAGCTTAACCTCTCTCCTCTGGTTAACTTAGAGCCCAGAGCCCCCTTACTGTGTCTAACAGAATGCTACTGCGTGGGAGCCTGTTCTGCTCAAGCTCTTTGTCTGAATATTGGAGAAGATAAAGAAGTAAGACCTTGAAGGTTGAAGTTATACTAAGTGGCACAGCAAAATATCCAGTATTCTTCTAATTTGAAAGTTAAGAAAGTATTTCTAAGTTAAAATTTGATCAGTTTTGATCAGGTTTTTCCATTTAACATAGTTGGCTATTATTTCATCATTTGTGTAAGTCATACTTTTATTTTAGTCCAACTGAAATTCTGGTCCCTGCTCTGGGTTGTTCCATGTCTTGTTTGGCTTACTTGTGCCCTTCAAGGGGCTGTTTCAGCTTTAAAATAAAGCTTATCTAAATATATGCAGGCAAGAGACTGCTGTAACCTGAGCCAACATGGTGTGTAACTCACCTGAATTTTGAGCAGCCGATTCGGAAGGTCAGTGTAGATGGCGTCCCACTGTTGCACAGTCAGACCTTTCAAAGCCAGGATTGCTTCAATAACCAACATGTCTGAGACAGCATCACCAACCGTCTGTTTACAGGGGAGGGAGAAGGGAAAAAATACTGGAGAAGTCAAAAATTAAGAAATGAAGGCATGATTTGATCAGGAAGCTTCCACCTGAAGAGAGTGAAAATGCAGTCAGGCTGACTTGCTGCAGTCTGGGTAGCTGGGGTGGGTTAGTTGGTTTGTTTTGGGGGGGGCTGTTTTATTTTTTCCTCCTTACCACGCTGACCCTGTGGTAAGGAGAACAGCAGCATACTTGTACAGCTCTGCCAAGGGCAAGCGCTAAGTCCTCGCCTCTCCTAAGGAGGACTGGCATCTCCCCTTTGTTCTGGGGTCAGGACAGTTAAAGCTGGCCTGTGAAGTACGATTTGGCACTACCCCAGATGAGTAATGTCTGTGCTAAGAGAGGGTGTCCCAGGGCTGTGTGGACACGGGCACTGGAACACCCCCATCCTCCCGTACCGCAGAGGTTAGTGAAAAACATCAGATGAAAGATTACTTGCTATTGAACCATGAACCATGAAGTCACATCCTGTCGCTAGGTTCCCATGCCATCCCACTCCCTCTTTTGGTCCTGAACCCAACAGATTGCTCGAGATAAAAGCATTCTGCATCCACTCGTGAGACAGTATTACATCTTTCTGAAGACTGTTCCTGCCCTTTTCTTCTTGGCCCCTTCTATCATGGCACCCTACTTCCTGCTCCAGCAGTCCCTGGCAGTAGCCTGACAGGTACTCACAAACAGGGTTAGCCCCACAACTGTCACCACAGTGATTTGTTTCTCCCAGTTTTTACCTGATTAATGAGGTCAATCATGTTTTCAAGCACCTTCGCTGCTTCTCTTTTTTCATCATCTTTCTCCTCTTTTGCCAGTTGTCTTATTTTAGTTTCAGCAGCTTTACTAAATAATACCTACAATAAAAAGATGAGAGCTTGTCAAGATCAGCCCACATCACAAACTAGGATACGTGCAGCAATGAGGAAAAACTTCTACCATTTAAGCCCAAATAACCATCATTAATGTTTGCTACTGTGAATTCCCATCCCCACATAAAACACAGAGGAGTTGGTGGCAATGCTATGATAAAGACAGAAGGGGGAAACAAGTCTGTTCTCCAACAAGGAGAGAGAAGTCTTGTTTATAGCGTAAGCAGAGCGTGAAAACACCTCCTTCTCCAGCTAATCCAACTAAAATTTTGTACATATTGGCTGATCTCATGCATTACATGCTCATACTTACTGTACCATGTCCGTTTGCCTCAAAATAAACACCAACATCAAACTCCTGGGCCTTGTGATGCAAGTGTTTCACTCCTGTTTTGACACAGTGCACAGGTACCTGCAGCCCAAAGATATGCAGAGAATGTGAACAGTGTTACAGACTCCCTTCAATAGATGGGAACTGCAGGTGAAGTGCCAGACACTGAGCACCAGCCCGGCTAGACTGTTGCAAACAAACCCATGTTTCACAGCTACTGACTCCCCAGAGCTAAAACTACCCGCTATTTCTGCAGGCCTGATTAAAAAGAAGATTTCATTTCTCCAAGTGGAAATAAAGACTGATTTAAAAAAAAAAACCAAAACCAAAACACAACAAAAACCCAAACGAAGAAAACCCCAATTCATTTTATGGTTCCAGGGAACATACCAGATTTCTATCCAAAATGAAATAATACCTTAGCTCAATTTTTGCCAAGGAATCATAAGCCCCATTTCCATAGTGAACAACATTTAACCTGTTACTGAAAATGAAACCACCAGTGTCAAAATATCAAGGAGCCTTTACCCACTCACTTAGTTGCAAAGCCAAAAACTCCTCAACTTATTCCAGAAGTAACAAAGGATTTTGTTTAAACTTTCTTTTTAAACTAGTAAAAGCTGACTACAACTTTTTCAGCCTTGCTCTCTTGCATCTCCTTTACCACCAAGAATTTAGTGGCTACTGCAGGTTTGAAAGAGTAATTTATTTTAGCCTAGTTTAAGTTTTCCTAGCGATCATGTTACAGTAGCATTTATTTTAGAAGTAAACAGATTTGCAGTAAACAACATTTGCAGAAAACTACCAGGAAAAAAACTGGAGAATACCTTCAGTGTTTCCTCAAGGTAGCGTGTTGAACTCCCATTGGCATACGCCGTTTGTACCACTGCCATCTTTAAAGTCTGTCCCACCTGAGCAATCCAAGAAGCAAAGTGCTTTACTGTCCGATAGGCACGTAACCAGACGAGTAGGATAAATGGAAGGATAATCAAGAGTTATTAAACATATGTTCTCCTACAGACATTTAAAACTCCTGGGCATCAGAGGAAGGCACCAGCTCACTGAGAACTTCTCTACATTTAAGACAACACAAATTCTATTCAAGTCTTTGTATATCACAGTTTTTGTGGCTGGCTTGAAGCAGCTCTCCATGCAGTGACCCGCACAGGCTTTCCAAACCCTTTTTCAGATTCAGCAAGCTCAGTGCACTGGCCAGACACATGGTGTTACAGCAGGCCATATACACAAGCAGTAAAGTCAAAGCTTCCAGTGCAAAGCAAGCAAAGGCTGGTGGCAAGCACGAGTTCTCCTCACTGGCAAGTATCTCTGCTACAGTGTAAGAAATGAGCTGGTCTCTAAGAAAACACAACCAGGATAACTCGTCTAGGTTTAGTGTCATAGACACCAAGTCTAAGAGGACTCCTGAAAAACAAAAGCTTTTTCTCTATATCCCCTGTGGGGAGAGGATGATATGTGGCAGATAGTGGTTTTGGAACAATGACATACAAACCCCTTGACTGCGACAACCAAGTTCTCATGCAAGTGGAATGACCAATGTTCATAAAGCTTCACAGAAATGCTGAGGGAAGGACTGAACCCAAAATTAATGAAAAACTAATGAAAGAGACCGAAACAAAGAGAATGGAATATCAATACTTTGTACACTGAAACTGGAAAAGTTCTCTCCCACTAAGAAAAGGTACCAGCTTAAAATATCAGTGGTCAAATTTTTATTTGGAGTGTGGAAGTCACACCCTTGTAAAAATAACGTTTTGGCCATACCAATGAGGTACAGAACTGATGTCTATTTAAACTGGGTTCACTTCAGGTAGATGTAGAAAGACCACGTACGTACAAACTAACACAGCTTCTTTAGAATATTTTACACTTTACAAATTAAAGTGTCAACATTCATTTCATCTGTTAAAGTTACCTTGGCAAGAAGTTCTTTAAGGAAGATACTAATTAAAGTTGCTATTTTATCTCCATCGATTAGGTGAAAATGGCCAGTTGCGTCCTTATAGTAATAAACAATTCTATCTGCATCGCCATCAAATGAGCAGCATCTCTCATTGGGCTTCATGTCTAGCCCTAGAGTTATAAATGCAAGTTAGAGAGAGAAAAAGATACAAAATGTTTAAATTAGTCCCAGTGTGGATCTCAGGCGGAAATGAGCTCTGGGCAGACACACACAAAACTGATGCTCTGAAACAGACATTGCTTTTACCAGGAGACTTGCAACAGGGAAGCTGTATTGAATGGCAACTGAGGCGTGCATATTCAGATCAAAAATATAAACACTAATACAAAAATGCAGGTTCTCTAAACATTTATTATGCTACACCTTCTCCCCAGATGTGTATGAAAATCAGTCCCAGAACTACTGTGTGTAGTCACATATCTGAATTTTGGAAATAAGCACTGAATGTCAGTTATGGCACAAGGACAAAAACCTTGCAGCACAAGAACACCCACCCCCTTCTCACACACCCAGTCACCACAGAGCGTACCGAGTCACGCATATCACCCACAGACCGAGGCAAATTGCTTTCCCCCGCTGCGCGGCAGAGTGAGCCAGCATTTGTGGAGTGACACCCGGGCAGGAGCCCAAAGCAGCGAGCGGCAGCTGGCTCACCCCGGCTGGACGCGGGGCGCTTGCCCAGCCCTCCCTTGCCGCTCCTCTGAGCGGGGCTGCAGCATGCTGCGCACCCCTGGGCGTGGAGGCAAACCACGCTCGGGCAGAGGAGGGCTCCAGAGCCATGTCCCCTGCATTTCCTGGCGTGTGGCACGTCCATCGCACACTCTTGGTATAACACTACTACGTACTTCACCCTCCAAGCCACATGGGAATTAACTATTTTTCCCTTGCATCAAAAATGCTTGTCTTCAGGAAATATTTCAGGCCTGTTTAATTTTATTCTATTCCCACTTGACAGACCTGTGCCTCCTCTTTGCTTCCTTTCACACAGGAGACACACTTTCCTTACACAAGACAAGCATGCACCCCCATGCCAGTGAAGCCATCACCAAAGTGCCATTACAGCAGGAGATGACACATAAATCCTACCACTGAAAAGACAACCCCACTCCAAAGCAACCATCATCAAGATTTCTCAGAGCTGTTCAAAAACCATACAAGTGGATCTGCTGGCTATAAAATAACTCACATTTAGTTTGCTGGATATTCAATTTATACAACAATATATATAATGCATAAGGAGTACCTGTCTCAAAAATTTTCCAGGCTTAATGCCAATAGAGAAATAGCTAGGAAGCAGTCACCACCTGACACAGCAATGACACACAAAAATGAACTGCTCTTTTATTAAGGCACATTAAAGTATCTCACCTCTGTGCCTGGGAAGACCATGGAGCAGATCCTCCTGGAAGTATGCTAAGGCACATGGAGGACAGGGAGGTGATTCGAGACAGCCAGCATGGCATCACCAAGGGCAAGTCCTGCCTGACCAGCCTAGTGGCCTTCTATGATGGAGTGACTACATCAGTGGACATGGGAAGAGCTACGGATGTCCATCTGGACCTCTGTAAGGCCTTTGACATGGTCCCCCACAACATCCTTCTCTCTAAACTGGAGAGGTAGAGATTTGATGGGTGGACTGTTTGGTGGATGAGGAATTGGTTGGATGGTTGCATCCAGAGGGTAGTGGCCAACGGCTCAACGTCCAGATGGAGATCAGTGATGACTGGTGTCCCACAGGGGTCTGTATTGGGACCAGTACTGTTTAATATCTTCATCAATGACATAGACATAGGATTGAGTGCACCCTCAGCAAGTTTGCAGATGACACCAAGCTGAGTGGTGCGGCTGACACGCCTGAGGGACGGGATGCCTTCCAGAGGGTCCTGGACTAGCTCAAGAACTGGGCCCTCGTGAACCGCATGAGGTTCAACAAGGCCAAGGCCAAGGTCCCGCACCTGGGTCAGGGCAACCCCCAGTATCAATACAGGCTGGGGGATGAAGGGATTGAGAGTAGACCTGCTGAGAAGATTTGGGGGTACTGGTGGATGAAAAGCTGGACGTGAGCCAGCAATGTGCACTCGCAGTCCAGAAGGCCAACTGTATCCTGGGCTGCATCAAAAGAAGCGTGGCCAGCAGGTCGAGGGAGGTGATTCTGCCCCTCTACTCTGCTCTGGTGAGAGCCCATCTGGAGTGCTGCATCCAGCTCTGGAGCCCTCAGCACAAGACAGACATGGACCTGTTGGAGCGGGTCCCGAGGGAGGGCCACGAAAATGATCAGAGGGATGGAACACCTCTCCTATGAGGAAAGGCTGAGAGAGCTGGGGTTGTTCAGCCTAGAGAAGAGAAGGCTTTGGGGAGACCTTATTGTCACCTTTCAATACTTAAAGGGGGCTTATAAGAAAGATGGGGACAAACTTTTTAGCAGGGCCCGTTGCAATAGGACAAGGGGTAATGGTTTTAAACTAAAAAAGGGTAGATTTAGGGTAGATATAAGGAAGAAATTTTTTACAATGAGGGTGGGGAAACACTGGACCAGGTTGCCCAGAGAGGTGGTAGGTGCCCCATCCCTGGAAACATTCAAGGTCAGGTTGGACGGGGCTCTGAGCAACCTGATCTAGTTGAAGATGTCCCTGCTCACTGCAGGGGGGGTTGGACTAGATGACCTTTAAAGGTCCCTTCCAACCCAAACTATTCTATGATTCTATGATTCTACATCTTGCTTTTCTCTAAGATGCTGGCCAAGATCCCTCCTCACATTAACCTCAGAGTCCATTTCTCAGAAAGTCTGCAGCCGGCCATTCCCTAGGCTGATTTCAGAGTCCATCAGGAATTCAGCAGGGAGCTCCAAAGGACACGCCGCACCCTGTAACCCCTTCTTGGAAAAATACCTTTTAGTACACAAGCAGACAGGAAAACTGGCCCACGTTTCTGACACCTTGTCCTTCAGAGCACAGATGTCCTTCAGAAACTATACCCCAAAACTTGCCTGTTTCTTCTCCTGCATGCCTACAGTGATACAGGACAATACGTCTCACTGCCATTGAGATCCTCAAGCTAAAGCATGAGGTAATGGCAACTGCAACATTTAACAGGTTGAGACTCCCTATGAGTTTAAACAGGAACCTGTAACTGCTTAATACTTCAGAGAAATCAGATCATTCATTTTAGCAACTAATTATGAAACCAGATTTTCCTTTCAGAGCACATCCCTGCATGGAAACGACCAAGGAGTCTCCCCTCAGTCCCAGTTAAAGCCGGGATCCAGGTGTGACACACTGCCGCTGTGCTGCTCTCCTTTCTACATTTCTCCAGCACACAAGGAGCGTACCTCGGCGTTCAGATTTGCAGTTGCAGTGAGGGTGCAGTTGTTGAACAGAGAGCCCAGTTTAGCCTTAAATAATCTAATATCCAAACTAGCCTGCTCCCCCAGTTCAGGGATTTTCTTTTATGCACTTTGCAGGAAATTGGATCAAATAATTTCCTCACTGGTTTATGTCAATCAGTCAGTCTGCTGGCACACCAAGCTGTTAATTAACCCAGCTCTTCCTCAGGAACCCAGAAAAGTGTCTGAAACCCTAGCCGACAATGTAAATGTTTCTTGATAACACAAAGGAAGTAAAGTAAATAAAAGTAAGCCAGTCCTAACTGATCTTTGGACTCCAACAGCTTAACATTCAGACCAGATTGTTGAACATATTTCAGCCAGTCAGAGACATACTGTACTCCTCCAAACAATTTAGACTAACATAAACTAGGGATGTGCCAAAACCAGCCGTAGGATTCTGCCTTTCCATTGCGCAAGCAGAACCATTCATGCAGTCACTTAGTAAGAAACAGGGGAGCTCAGCTTATCCGAAGATGAGTTCGGATCCGCCACTGCTAGACCCTGTGCTTTCAGATCTGGAGAGGAGGCAAAGGATATAAAATTACTGACTACATACCTCTAGGTGGTTTCTGGTGAACTTTTACAAAATCTGCACCACATAAGTGATTGAGTTTTTCCTTGGTTCCATCATTATATAGGTGAATAAGCACCTCCTTTGGAAAGTAGGGCTCCATTTCAGATAGTTTCAGGGCGCCTATTCCATTGGCACAGTCAACCTTCAGGTGCCTCTGACTCTCTCCAAAGCTGGGAGACTTAGCACAAAGGAAGAAGAGGCAAAATGAACCCATACCCTAGTGAAACCACCCCTAGAGGCATGCTAAATTCGAAACTTCAGACCCAAACAGGCTAACAAACTGAAGATACTCATTTTGTACATTTGCATGAAGCAGACAACACGCAGTATTCACCTGTTTTATCAGTTCCGTAAAAGCTTTCGATAGTTTTTCATAATAACCTTCCAGCGTTGCTTTCCCATACTGCTCTTGGGTGTTTCGACAGCAGACCATGTAATGTAGCTGTGGTGTTGTCACCAGACCATAATCTAGCATAAAATAAAAGGCACAACATTCCGAAATAGAATACTAAATTAATTCCTCCTTAGAAGTTGTACAGTACTTGCTATTCTACAATAAACAGACAAATGCAGTGCAGGAAACCCATATTAAATTTTTCAAGTTCTGTTACAAAAAGATGACACATCGCCTCCTCCCTTGCATTAAAGCCATACAACTATCCTGAAAGAAGACCATTACAAGCAAAGATGGAAATGGTGTCTGAGCTATTGCTTTAGGTCTACATAACAGAGTCACATTTACATAAAAACCTGAAATCAGACTAGAATTGCAAAAGCACAACATACCATGGTACTGACCACCTAGAACGGAGATACCATCTATTACTGACTGTGAAAGTTTCTCGCTGCTTGGCCTGGAAAACAACAAATACAACTGATAACCTTTGCAGAAGACATTTATGTATGTTCTTGGAAAGGAAGCACATGTGGAAAAAGACTCTACAAGCTTCCTGCCAGTAGACTTAGATTCAATATGAAGAAATCCATACCTTTTGCTATTGTAGGGGCCTCCCAATAAAAAAGTTTGAAAGCCATCACCCCAGAGAATTGCAAAGACAAGTAAACTGCTGAACACACATGGACACCACAGGGTACCCACAAAAAAAAACCCCAAACCCACAATAAAGCATCCCATTCAGAAACAGTGCTCGTAACTATCAAGGACGCTAATATAGGAACAGTATTGGAAAACTTTTGCGTATTGCTGTAATCATAAATTACTTTAATAGGTAGCAGACTAAGCATAAAAAAAAGCATAATCTGGCTGCGGAGAGCAACACATCCAAAAGCACCCATGAACAAAACATTGGCGCTTCCATAAAAGCAGCACACATCTACAGCACTTTGTAATTACCTGGTGTCTCTACCAATAAAAACTGAAGCATCTTTGTACTGGTTCACTGCTGCTTTTTGGCAGATCTCAGTTATTATTTTCTGTAATTCTCGCTCCTCTGCATTTGCTAGTTGCGTGGCATACTCTTCCCAGGAAGGGTGCAGCATTTCACCAAGAGGATCAACCAGCTTTACACCATTATCTTCCTAAGAGGAAAACAGAACAGAAGATACCAAGTCTAAAAGCGGGAAACTTAATAAAATCTCTTTGAAGACAGCTGACACATGGTTCAATCACATTGTTCTTTAAATGTGGAGCATTTCTGGGAAGCAACAGTTTAGCTGTTTATTTAAACCTCTAATAAGCCCAAAAAAGTAACGTAACCAGCATATTGTTGCACCAGAGGAGGTTGAGATTGGATATTAAGAAAAATTTCTTCACCAAAAGGGTTGTCAAGCACTGAAACAGGCTGCCTAGGGAAGTGGTTGAGTCACCATCCCTGGAGGTATTTAAAAGATGTGTCGATGTGGTGCTTAGGGACATGGTTTAGTGGTGGACTTGGCAGTGCTAGGTTAATGGTTGGACTCAATGATCTTAAAGGTCTTTTCCAACCTAAATGATTCTATGATTTTATGATTCTATATTAAGTAACTGACGTCTTCCCCCTTATAATTTTGGTATGAAATTCATTTGACATTAAAATGACATAAGGGGAGATTCTAATAACCTGGAGTGCTCCACAGCAGCAGAAGTCTAAATGCCTGATTTATAATTGCTGCATCTCTTTATTTTTTAAACTAGCAGATTTTGCTCAAAGGTTCATCTCTTCCCAAGGGCACTCCTAGCTTGCCTAAGTTACTAATTTCCTACATTACAGCATTTCCACATGATAGAAAATGACACTCCTATGTACAGGGAAAAGTAACTTCAAACATGTCAGACATATTTACAGGGAGCAGGCTAAACACATGCTTTAAGTAAGTCCAAGTGCCTTCAGGATCTGGTGTCTCAGCACCACAAAGAGCTTTGATTCCACCAGACAGATCACATCTATTTTCTTTTTAAAGAAAAGGTTGTTCTTACTTCAGGATTGTGAGATGCTGTAACCATGATGCCAATAGTAGATACCACGGCTTTGGACCTCAGAACTGCCAGCAAGCCCATGCGGAACATGACGTGATCAAGCTGTTCGGCCTTGGTGCGAAATCCAGCGGTGCCATACTGAAGAGTAAGTCCAGCAGGTTTAGGATGCAACACTGAGTATTTTTTAAGTGCTTCAGAATCCATTTCTAGAGAAAGAAGTAACACAGATGCAAGTGAGAAAAGACAAGTCATTATAATTAGTTTCACATTTTGCACTTTAATTTTTAAGCCCATAGATATTTTAAACCAGCATCAACACAATACCGTTCATATTCCACAAATCCCTTGGTGGGACTGCGAGGGGAACCATTACCAGAGCAATCCATGAAGGAGCCTCTACATTCCCACTACAGCACCGGATAAACAGAGCTCGACCAGATTTCACCAGATCACGAAGGGATGACGGGATTTAGGTGAGGAGAGCCACGATTCTCAATCAGCTGGATCCAGGAATCCTAACACAGTTATTGCAAAGGGCTGGCCATTTCTCACTGCAATGTTAGCCACTCAGTGCGCTCAGCCACGACTCCATACATTAACTTTTGAGTTCAAAAACAGCCTGTCCTCCCTCTTCAAGCCCTTGCAGCCACACGGAAACCCCCAGCAGCGTCACCTGGATGTTTTACTCGGATCGCGGCTCTGCTAAGGCGCTCTGTACGGTTTCCACCTCCCCCCAGGCACCTGAGGCGCTAACAGC